TTCCCCTTTTCTCTGCCTGACCAATGCCTTTCATTCTACAAAGTCCAGCTTCAGTGTCACCTTCTTTGAGAGGGAGCTAATCCCTCCCTCCACTACGCTCATGGGCCTCTATTAAGCCTGTCTCTTATACACATCTAGATGTGTATAAGAGACAGGTCCTGTAGCCATTGATGTGAACTCTTCCCATAGGCTGGTGAGGCCTAGAGAAATTCCGATTACACAGGATTTATTGTATCCTTATTTTGGTCATTAATTATTTAAGAAATAAACTGCTTTGATGCTTTTATATACTGCTGGAACAGCAATGACTGCTTATGGCTCAAACTAAGCATATTTTATGATTTAAGTTGATATTCATAGATTTTTATTCTTTGTTTGAAGTATTAAAAATGGAACACTGGATCAAAGCTAATAAAGCTATTTATCAAATATCACCAGTGGGTAGCTTGAAACTATATTAGAACAAAGACTTATTAGGGAATTGCAACTTTACAAATACATGCTTTCAGTAGAAACTAAAAATTTTCTTCTGAATAGATCAAATCAACGGAGATCCCCTATTGGTTGAAAGAAAGAGTCTACGAAACAGGAAATGGGGAGTGTATTCAAATGAATAGCCCAGGATATTCTGAATGGTGGTTCTCAGAGGTCATTATATTAAGTTAAATAAGCCAGGCACACAAAGACAAATATCGCATGTTCTCACTCATACGTGGGAGCTACAAAAGTGAATCTCACAGAAGTAGGGAGTAGAATGGTGGTTACAGAGGCTGGGAAGGGAAGGCGGAAGAAGTTAGTTAAGGGGTACAAAAATGCAGCTACACAGAGTGCTAGTATTTAATAGTACAGTAGAGAAGTTACAGTTGACAATAATTTATTGTATATTTCAAAATAGAAGAAAATAATTGTAATGTTCCCAACGCAACACAAAGAAAAGATAAATGCTTGACATGATAGATATCCTAATGATCCCGATTTGATTATTACACAGTGCACACATGCATCAAAATATCATGTGTACCCCAAAAATATGTGCAACTATTATACATCAATTTTCAAAAGAAAAGAAAAAAAGCAGTGGTTCTGCTGTATCTTTAAAATGAAGGATCATCCCAGAAGAAAGAATAGAAAAAAAAGACTGTGCCCCTCTGTCTGTCTTTTCATCACTCACAGGAAAAGATTAGAAATAGAATAAATGCCAGAATATCCCCAAATGTCAAATATCAAGATGAATTGGCTGCCAATAGCGGAAAAATCACTTATGAATTTAGTATAGGTATTTATCCTCAAACTATCTTTTCATTTATACTATATTTTATTTGAGAATTTAAATTCATGAAACTATAAAAATAATCAGAGACTAATAAATATCTGACTTCAGAGGTCCAGATTTTGCAAAGCCATGCCCCAACACAGAAGGAAAAAAAGAAAAAATATATCTAATATATACATAAAATATGTATCACATATATATCATACATATTGTCCTCCCTGATTTTCACTATTTCCCCAACCCTCTATAATCCTGGGCCTATTTCTTATTTTCTTGGATATTGGTCATTAAATTAAACCATCATCACTTCTAAAATATTCAGTGACAATCAGCTGATAACAAAGTACACATATTGCCGTATGCTACACTGACCATAAACACAAGCAAAACAAGGCAGGGAAGTACAATGAGCTAAGTGAAGCACTTCTTCTGAGATGATAACTCCAACAATGCACCCATAGACCAAAATCTACAAAGCAATGTTAGTGAATTCAAAAAGATCATTTGTGATTCAAAGAAGTTCTGGCCATATTTCTCCTATTCATTTTCCCCTAGGCTGGCAGGCTTTATGGGTTTTTGGGTTTTTTTTTTTCCTTTCCTCTAGACCCCTAACTCCTGTGCAAAATGAAAATGTTCCTAAAGTATACATACAGCTTCTCTTCAGGCAAAACAACCTCTATCTGAACACAACAGGCAAGGCAGTTCATAAACCTGACAACGGACCAGTACTTCTGAAAAAAACTCTCTAACCAGAATATTCAGATATAGCATTCAATGTATTAAGCAATTAAATTTTGTCTCAACTGGGAGGTTCCAGGAGCATGGCAGATATTTGTTACCTCACTGCTTGTCAGCATTTCCTGCCTGCCTTTGGCCTATCATATGTCATATCCGTGGAGGTGGACAATTTCTCCTTGGTTTTCTGCTCACTAAAATATCCTGTCTTTGGGGATACCTTATTTCAACTCACTTTTCTGATATTTTGTCAAATGAAGAAACTAGTATCTGTTACAAATGGATCATCATTTTGAAATGTTGGTATTTATGAGTATTTGGGTTGTAACAAAAATTGACATATAGTTATTATTTATTTATCACATAACAAATACCTTCATTAAACGCAGTCACATAATCTTTATTGCTCTACTGCCTCTCAGATCTGCAAGTTTATCATGTATATTCAAATGACTGCAGTGGCAGCAGCAAACAAAAAGGACAGATTATAAATCCATTTTTTATATCTCTTAAAATAATGCTCAAATGACTTGAAGAATAAATATTTTTTTATTGGCTTTGCTTTTTGCACAGATTCTAAATTGGGAAAAAATTATTTTCATTAGTTTAAAATGTCCTTTCTAGAAAATTCCCTCCCTTAAATGTGTGTTATACTTTACAGCAGGGGTGTCTAATTTTTTGATTTCCCTGGGCCACACTGGAAGAAGAAGAATTGTCTTGGGCTACATATAAAATACACTAGCACAAATGATAGCTAAAAGAAAAAAAGAACTGCAAAAAAAAACTCATAATGTTTTAAGAATGTTTACAAATTTGTGTTGGGCCCCATACATGCGGCCCGCAGGCCAAAGGTTACAGAACCTTGCTTTACAGCATTTCAAAACATCTTCACAGACATACCACAGTTGATCCTCCCAATAACCTTATGAGGTAGCATATTCCAAAACCAAAACAGGCTGAGTCACATCAGCAGTGCAGAAGAAGGAGACCAGGAGCCAGTGGTTTCTTCCATGCCTATTATGTGCCCAATCGACTTCTGTGTATGTCCTCTCAGTTTCTCTCCTGGTGGAACCCCTCAAGCAGCACCACAGAATTAGAAACAGAGGAAGTATTCAATTAAGAGTAACTATATTATTATTATTGTCACTATCATCCTCATTAAAGAAACTTAGGCCCAGAGAGCCTAGGACCAGGCAGTCAAGCCCATGTCCTAACCTCAGGTCTGGCACTGGTTTTTTTTTTCATTATTCCATTCAGAACTTGTGATAACATAACATTCAGGCACTTCCCTGGGATGTTTGTCCTCACCCACCCTAGAAATGACTAGCCCTGACTTGAACATTCATGTATTTCAACCATGAGCTGATCTCTTCATCTTTATAAGGTACAAGTCTGGGTCTCCAGAGAAGCCATTACTGATGCCATCTCTGAGGATACTTTTTTAACACAACCACCACCACTATATGAGCAGTAAAAGGGTGATTAGTGCTCACCTTGTAAAGGTCACTGAACAGCCAGCAAGCAAGAGCTTGCATCACCTGGACTAAATCTGACCTGGTGACCCACAGCTGGGAAGCTCTGCACCTCCAGACCAAGGCCAGGCTTCCAAGTACACTGAAAAAAGACAGCTGGTTTTCCTATCATCAAAGAAGCAGTATTTAAGAATTTAACATTTAAATACCATCAGGTTTTACCCACTTTGGAGTAAAAGCCTGGTTCTTTGGGCAGTAAAAACGGCTTTGCCAAGTTGTTCCGGATTTCATTCAGGCCTTGCTAATGCATTCTGTCATATATCAGTAGAGGCTTGATGAGGAGCTAACATAATCCTTTTAGGGCAGATAACTAATGCTCTACCCAGACTATCCAGGGTGTTTCTTTAAGATTGGATTTGTTTTCTGCTAATCCTTAAGATTAGTTACTGATGACCTAATCTAAAACCCTAAAAAGTTCAAAAGCTCTTTTAAACTTAAAAATCTAACAGGTGATACTCTCCCGACAATTCTGTAAGGCCCTCCACAATAGGCCACCACCAGCTTTTTCAGAGTCGTTTTGTAATCATTCTCTTTTGCAAGATGTTATGCCTGCACGGCACCACTCCTCAAGCAAAGTGGTCTCAAAGTTAGCACCCACTCTTATTCCCCAGGACTGCTCCAATGAAGGGTCAGGAAGTCCACTAAGGAAGGAGGAGCAGGGAGTGCATGCCAGAGGACCCGGGTAGTCCCACTTTTTCGTTTTTGCTTCCACACCACCAGAAGAGCATGTAAGAGCACAAACCCTCGCAACTCGGAGCTCCTCTCAGCCCTAGCCCTTCGCTCCTCTCTCAGCTTTGGGACCACATTCTCTCTGGGTCCGCTTCTTGCAGTGCTGGGGTAGGGTTTCACCAGAGTAGTCAACTCCAAGGTTCAGGATCTGGGTTTACCAAAAAGAAGGAAAGACGTGCACCATGGTCTAACCAGGGGTTTCTAGAGTTCTGTGCAGAGATTCAGAGCTAAATCATGAGCTAATAAGGAAGCATCATTGCTTTCCTTCACAAAAACAGATGCTTCTCACAGGTTCTGGAGAAGAAGAAGTATTGCTGGGCCAAGACAAGATTTGGTGTACCTGAGTTCCCTATTAAATTGCCAAATGACTGTCTTCTTAATAGCTGTGCACTTTGACTTCTAATACTCATCTTCAAATCCCAGCCACTTCATAAAACCTTTCCCACCTGTACTTCTGTCCAAAGGACAAACCTTTGCTACCTTGTATATAAGTCCTCAGTTCACAGCAAATACTCATCAAATTTTTACTGAATTTAACTGAAATATACTCACAGATCAGAGAGTAAACACTGTGTGTGTACCATTATCAAAGTATAAATCAAAGAAATTATATATCAAAAGCATTTTATATTTGGAAAACTTCCTTTTAATAGCAAAAGTCCCCTATAAATGTACTTCAGGAGAAAGACGTTCAGCCACAGACCAGAATAGCTTTTATAATACTTCTGAACATTTTCAAGCATTCTATCTATAATTTCCAGGAGCATATTTACAATATAATGCATATGGCCCTCGACAAACTTTTAATAGTACAAATAAAATTAACCTTGGGAAACAATGCAAAACACAAATTAATGTTCTTGATAATTTTCTTCCTTAGATGCATGGCCCCTATTTAGCTTATATGACCAAAGTAATATAAAGTATATGAATAGAAAGTAACATAAAGTATAAAGTGAATTTTTCTTTAAAGGAAACAAAAAAGGCAACTCACCTTAGAACTAGCTGTAACATCACATCTTCACAATGTAAACCAATGAGAGTTCTGAATAATGCCAGGGACACCACACAAAGCTGGGAAACAAGAGACACACATTCTAGTTCAGATGCTGGAACGATAACTCCACTCCCCACAGATGGTAAATAAATCAGAATTACAAAATAAAATGGGCCTTTTTTTTTTTTTAGCAGTTTTGATAAAAAGCATGCTGCTGCCAGAGAGAATGTGTATTCAGGATATCAATTCTCCCATAGGATTTGATTAGAAAGCCAGTGTCTGGAATTATGCCACTGTGCAGAATTATCTTCCTACAAAAATGCCTGGGCTCGTATTTCCAACTTTTAAAGATCCAGACAGATAAACATTCTCCCTACAATTCTCCAATTCTCTCTCTCTCTCTCTCTCTCTCTCACACACACACACACACACACACACACACACACACACACACACTCCTATTTAGGTAATTTGTTTTCCTGAGTTATTTTTCAAACATTAGTTATTTACAAGACAGGGCTCAGGGAAAATTGTATATAACCTAGCCAAGTCTCCCTTCAGAGTTCTTAGCCTCAAGCTCAGCTCCTCTCTTGGCTTTGGGGCAAACATTTTCCTTGGTTCCATTTCCCATTGTGCTGAGGGTGAGATAATGTTCTTTTCTAAAAAGTTCTTTAAAAAAACAAGAATTCTATCAATGCTGATTTCCAAAAAGAAAAGGTAAACTGCCAAATAGGGGAGATGCCCAAAGGTGTATTGTAAAATCTTTGCACCCTTTTGAGAGTAAGCTTTTATCAATCTACTGGCCCATTTAAGTAATTTTAAGCTCTCACTCTTTGTAGAGTAAATGCTAGTCTGTTTTCTAGGCAAGTTGGGCTTAAAATCTGGCCAATGAAATCCACAACAATGCTATAAAGAAAGAGCTGTACTTAGCCTAACCCAAAACATCTCTTATCCTCAGGGCAAGTCATATAGGTGTAGTTAGCTAGAAGCAACATACCCTGTTACCATTCTAAGTCTTTGCACTTGTGGTTCCATTAAATGCAATGGCTTTTCCTGACTCCTCCAACAGGCTAACTCCTATCTGTTCTCAAAGTCTTAGCTTAGGCCTCACCTCCCTTAAGAAATCTTTCTGTTCTGTCTCACAATATTACCATCCAACACCTCCTTTCCCCAACCCAGTTAGGTTTCCTTCTTATCCATTGCCACAGTAACCCCTGCAAATCACTGTTAATTTATCAGACTTCATAGTAACCCGGACCCCTCACTGTTAAGGGTGAGCCGCAGGGTGTTTGTCTTTTTATTATTGAGTTGTAGGAGTTGTTTATTTTGTGTACAAATACCTTATCAGATATATGATTTGCAAAAATTTCCTACCATTCTGTGAATTGTCTTTTCAAGTTCCTGTTGTTGTCCCTTGAAGGCAAAAGTTTTTAATTTTGATAATTTCCAATTTATCAATTTTTTCATTTGTTGTCATTCATGCTTTTGGTCTCATATCTAAGAAAACACGGCCAAGGCTACAAGGATTTACTCTTATGATTTCTTCTAAGAGTTTTATAGTTTTAGCTCTTACATTTAGGTCTCTGGTCCATTTTGAGTTAATTTCTGTATATGGCATGAGGTGTGGATTCAGCCCTATTATTTTGCACGTGGATATCCAATTGTCTTAGCACCATTTGTTAAAAAGACTATTCTTTCTCCCACTGAGTGGTCTTGAAATTTCCTTGAAAACTAATTGACCATGGATATATGAACTTATTTCCGGATTTTCAATTCTGTTCCACTGATCTGTATGTCTATCCTGCACCACACTGCTTTGATTACTGTAGCTTTGTAGAAAGTTTTGAAACCAGGTACGCTGAGTTCTCCAACTCGTTTCTTCAAGTTTGTTTTGACTATTCTGGGTCCACTGCATTTCCATATGAATTTTAGAGTCAGCTTATCTATTTCAACAAATAGGCCAGATAGGAGTTTTATAGAAAAACACTGAAACGGTAGATCGATTTGTGGAGTATTCCTATATTAACAATATTAAGTCTTCTGGTCTATGAACATGGGATGTTTTCCTTTTATTTAGGTCTTCTTTAATTTAAACAATGTTTTATACTTTTTGCAGCATAAGTTTTGCACTTCTTTTGTAAAATTTATTCATATTTTCTTTTGATGTTATTGTAAATTGATTTTTGTACATTAATCTTGTATCTGCAACCTTACTAGACTCATTCATTCTAACAATTTTAGTGCATTCCTTAGTTTTTACATACAAGAGCATGTCAACTGCAAATACTGATTATTTTACTTTTAATATAAATGTGTTTATTTCATTATTTCATTTTCTTATTTAATTGCCCTGGCTAGAACTTCAAGTACCATCTTGAATAGAATTGAAGAGAGAAGATATCTTATTCCTTATCTTAGTGAAAAACCATTCTTCACTATTAAGTATAATGTTAGCTCTGACTTTTTCGTAGATGCCCATTATCAGATTGCTAGGAAGTTCCCCTCTATTTCTAGTTTGTTGAGTATGCTGTTGATAATCGTGTTTTCCTTTATCTTGATACAATGTATTACATTCATTGATTTTCAGACTTTAAACCAGCTTTACAATCCTAGTTTGATAAATCCCATTTGATCATAGTGTATAATCCCTTCTATTTATTCTAGATTTCATTTGCTAGTGTTTTATGGAGAATATGGGGAGCCCATATTCATAGTTAGTGTATAGTTTTCCTGTGGTATCTTTGTTTAGTTTTGGAATCAGAATTAACACTGGCTTCACAGAATGAGTTGAGATGTATTTCCTCCTCTTCTAATTTTTTAAAGAGCCTGTGAAGAATTTGTATTAATTATTCATTTTTTAAATTGATAAAGAACACACAACATAAAAGTTAACATATTACTGATTTTTAAGCATACAAATCACTAGTGGTAACTATATTCACAGTGTTGTGCAACAGATCTCTCAAACATTACATTTTGCAAAACTGAAACTCAATAACCACCAAACAACTCCCCATTTTCCCCACCACCCAGCTCCTGGAAACCATCATTTTACCCTCTGTTTCTTTAAGTTTGACTATTTTAGATCCCTCACATGAGTGGAATCCTACAGTTCGTCTTTTTCTGACTGGCTTACTTCACTTCACATAATACCCTCAAAGAGCATCCATGTTGTAGCACGTAACAAGATTTCCTTCTTTTTTTAAGGTTGATTAACATTCCATTCCATTGTACACATAACAACATACTTTTTTATCTATTCATCCATCAATGGACAATCTAGGTTGCTTCAACCTCTTGGCTAGTGTGAATGATGCTGCAATAAACATGGGTACACAAATATCTGTTCAAGATAGTGCTTTCAATTATTTTAGATATATTCCCAGAAGTGGGATTGCTGGATAATGTACTAATCCTATGTGTTATTTCTTGAGAAACCTCCATGCTGTTTTCCATAATGGTTGCACCACTTTACATTCCCATAAACAGGGCACAAAGGTTCCAGTATTTCCACATTCTCAACAACACTTACTTTTTCAGTTTTTTGGATAGTAGCCACCCTAATGGATATGAGATAATATCTCATTGTGGTTTTGATTTGCACTTCTCTAATCTTTTCATATGTTTTGTGGTCCTTTGTATGTCTTCTTCACAGAAATATTCAAGTACTTTGTTTATTTTTAAGTTAGATTATTTGGATTTTTGGTTGGTGGTGAGTTACAGAACTTTTTATATATTCTGGATACTACCCCTTATCAGATATATGACTCATAAATATTTTCTCCCATTCTGTAGGTTGCCCTTTCATCTTGTTGATTAGTTCATTTGATATGCTTAAGTTGTTAAGTTTGATGTACTCCCATCTGTCTATTTTCCCCTACGCTTCTGGTGTCATATCCAATAAATTATTACAAAATCAATTGCTATGAAGTTTTCCTCCATGTTTTCTTCTAGGAGTTTTGTAGTTTCAGATCTTATGTTTAGGTCTTTTATCCATTTTCAGTTAATTTTTTATATGGTGTAAAGTAAGAGTTCAACTTCATTCCTTTGCATGTGGAAATCCAATTTTACCATTGCCATTTGTTGATGAAATCGTCCTTTCCTATTGTGTAGTCTTGGCATCCTTGTCAAAGATCATTTGACCATAATACAAGGGTTCATTTCTGTTTCATTCTGCTTCCTATTCTGTTTCATTGGTCTTTATACTAGTACCACACTGTTTTGTATTACTATAGCTTTGTAATATGTTTTAAAATAAGGAAATGTGAGCTCTCCAACTTTTGCCTTCTTTTTCAATATTATTTTAGCTATTCAGGGTCTCTTGAGATTTCATATAAATTTTAGGATTTTTTTTCTATTTCTGCCCAAAAAATGTCACTGGGATTTTGTTACAAATTGCATGGAATCTGTAGATTGCTTTGAGTAATATGGCCATTTTAATGAAAATAAGTTTTTCAATCCATGAACATGGAATGTCTTTCCATTTATTTGTTCTTTTTTCATTTCTTTCAATAATGTTTTGTAGTTTTCAGTGCACAAGTCTTTCACCTCCTCAGTTAAGTTTATTCCTAAGTATTTTATCCTTTTTGATGCTATTATAAAGAGCTTTTTAAAATTTCCTTTTCGAATTGTTCATAGTTAATATATACAAATTATTTATGTGTGTTGACTTTGTATCCTGCAACTTTACTGAACTCACTTGTTAGTTCTAACAGTTTTTGAGTGACATCTTTAGGATTTTCTATATATATGATCATGCTGTCTACAAACAGACACAATTTAACTTCTTTCTATCCAGTTTAAATGCCTTTATTTCTTTCTCTTGCCTAATTGCCCTGGCTAGGACCTCTAAGTGGGCATCCTTGCCTTGTTCCTGATTTCGGAGAAAAAGCTTTTAGTCTTTCACCATTGAGTAAGATGTTAGCTGTGGGCTTTTCATATAAGGGCTTTAATATGTTGAAGTTGTTTCTTTATATTTCTAGTTTGTTGAGTGCTTTTATCATGAAAGGGTGTTGAATCTGTCAAGTGCTTTTTCTTTTTCTTTTTTTCTTTTTTTTATTATTTATTTATTTATTATTATTATTATACTTTAAGTTCTAGGGTACATGTGCATAATGTGCAGGTTTGTTACATATGTATACTTGTGCCATGTTGCTGTGCTGCGCCCCTGTCTCTTATACACATCTAGATGTGTATAAGAGACAGGCCCATGCCTATGTCCTGAATGGTACTACCTAGGTTTTCCTCTAGGATTTTTATGGTATTAGGTCTAAGATTTAAGTCTGTAATCCATCTTGTCAAGTGCTTTTTCTATCAATTGAGATGACCCTGTGGGTTTTGTCCTTCATTCTATTAACGTGGTATATTACACTGATTGACTTTCATACAGTGAAGCATCATTGTATTCTAGGAATAAATTACACTTGGTCATGTTGTACAATCCTTATCATGTGCTGTTTAATGCTTTTTGCTAGTATTTTGTTAAAGATTTTTGCATCAATAGTCATCAGGGATACTGGTCTCTAGTTTTCTTGAAGTACCTTTGTCTAGCTTTGGTATCAGGACTATACTGGCCTCATAAAATTAGTCTGAAAATGTTCCTGGATCTTCAAGTTTTTAGGAATTCAAGGAGGACTGATGTTAATTCTTCTTTACATGTTTGGTAGACTACTCCAGTGAAGCCATCTGGTCCTGGGATTTTCTTTAAGATTTTTAAATTATTATTACAACTTTGATCTCCTTACTAGAGGTAAGTCTGTTCAGACTTTTTTTTAATTTCTTCATGATTCATTTTTGATAGGTTCTATGCTTCTAAGAATGTATCTAGGTCTTCTAGATCATCCAGTTTGTTGGTGTGTAATTGTTTGTGGTATGTTCTTTTTAATTTCTGTGGCATAAGTTGTAATGTCCCCTCTCTCATTTCTGATTTTAGTTATTTGAGTCATCTCTCTTTTCTTAGTTAATACAGCTAAGGGTCAATCAATATTGTTGTTGTTGTTTCAAAAAACCAAGTCTTGGTTTCATTGGTTTTTCTATTCTTCATTTCACTGATTTTTGCTCTGATCTTTATCATTTCCTTCCTTCTGCTAACTTTGACTTTAGTTCGTTCTTCTTTGTCTAGTTCCTGGAGATGTATAGTTAGGTTGCTGCTTCAAGATCTTCTTTTTTTTAACCTAAGTGTTTACAGCTATAAAATTCCCTCTTAGTACTATTTCACTGCATCTCATAAGTTTGGGGATATTGTGCTTTCATTTTCACTTGTCTCCAGATATTTTCTAAATTCCCTTGTGATTTCTTCTTTGGCCCAAGAATGTGTTGTTTAATTTGTATGTATTCATAATTTTTTCCACTGTTTCTTCTACTATTTATTTCTAGTTTCATTCCATTGCATTCAGAAAAAAATTATTTGTGTGCTTTCAATTTTTGTAAACGTGTTAAACTTTGTTTTGTGACCTCACAAGTGGTCTATTTTGGAGAATGTTCTATGTGCACTTGAGGAGAATGTATATCCTGCCATTGCTGGGTGGAGCATTTGGTATATGTCTGTTAGGTCCAACTGGTTTATAGTGTTGTTCAAATCCTGTTTCCTTCTTTATCTTCTGTCTGATATTTTCATCCACTATTTAAGTAGGGCATTGAAGTCTCCTACTATTAATGTGCAGCTGTCTGTTTCTCCCTGTAATTCTGTCAATGTTTGCTTCATATATTTGAGAACTCTGATGTTATATATAATATTTATATCTTACTAGTGAATTGACCCTTTTATCACTACATAATGTCATTCCTTATCTCTTGTGTCTTTTTTTGTCTCTTTACCTTAATATCTAATTTTTTAAATATAAGTACAACCATCTCTGCTTTCTTTTAGTTACCATTTGCATGGGATATATTTTTCCATCTTTTGACTTTCAGCTTATACATGTTCTTAGATCAAAAGTGAGTGTCTTTTAGACAGTATATGCTTGGATCATGTTTTTTAATCTATTTAGCCAGTTTATATCTTTTGATTGGAGTGTGTAATCCATCTACATTTGAAATAATTACTGAGGTGGAAGGACTTACTATTTCCATTTTGTTGTTTTCTGTGTGTCTTACAGCTATTTTATTCCTCTTTTCCCAATAAACAGACAGAACATAAGCAGCAATGTGAAGCCAGTAATTCACTCTTCTCTTTCCCTCACAAGGTAAAAGTCAGCAGTTGGAAGTTTTCTCTGGATCTTGCCACACCGTGTTGGGGAGGGTGCATGGCTAGAGCAGGTAATAATGCCACCTATTTTCCTGCACACTTCAATATGTCTCTTCTTGGCTTTGTGCTACAACCTCTTAACTGGTGTTCTTACAAAGTTTCTGAAGTTCTCACAAAGGCAATTTGGTCCATACATTTTTGTTAAGTGGGTTTCTCTGTGAGGGAATAAGGGCCTGAGTCTTCCTATTCCACCATTTTGCTGACCTTACTTTTTAACTAGTGCCTAAATGTTTGAAAGAATTCACCAGTGAGGCCATCTGGGTCTGGGCTTTCCTTTATAAGTAGTTTGTTTAATTTCTATTTTAATCTTATTTTGATATAAATTTATTTAGATTTTCCATTTCACAAGTTTGTGTCTTTCTAGAATTTTTCTATTTCATCTAAGTCATCCTTTGGCATATAGTTGCTCATAGTATTCACTTATTGTTTTTATTTCTGTAAGGTTGATAGTAATATCCTCCTCTTTCATTTCTCATTTTAGTAATTTGAGACTCCCCTCTTTTTTTATCAGCCTAGCCAACGGTTTGTCAATCTTGTCAAAGAACCAACTTTTTATTTCACCTATTTTCTCCATTGTTTAAATTTGCTATTTCATTAATTTCTCTCTAATCCTTATTGTTTTCTCTTTGCCTGCTTTGTTTGATCTTCTTTTTCCAGTGTATTATGATAGATGCTTAGGTTACTGCTTTGAGCTCTTTCTTCTTTTTTTAACATATGTGTTCACAACTATATATTTCCCTTTAAACAATGCTTTCACTGTATCTCATAAGTCTGGGTATATTTTGTCTTCATTCTCATTTATCTCAAAGTAAATTCTCATTTCCCTTGTGATTTCTTCTTTGACCCACTGATTAGAAGTGTGTTAATTTCCATATACTTGTGAATTTCCCAAATTTGTTTGTCAATATTTTTTTAATTTCCATCCATTATGATCAGAGAACATACTTTGCATGATTTCAATCCTCTTAAATTCACTGAGGTTTGTTATATGGCCTAGCATATGGTCTGTCTTAGAGAATATTCCATGTACATTGGAGGAGAATGTGTATTATGTTGCTCTTAAGTGTAGTGCTAATTGAATATTTTCTTAGTATAACATTTTAATTCCTTTAAATGATTTTTCCACTATATTTTTAAATTATTTTCTTAGTGGTTGCTCTAGTGCTTCCAGTATACATTTTAACTTACCAGAATTTACTTCAGATTTATATTAAATTAGCTCTAGTGAAATATAGAAATATTACTCCTATATAAGTCTATTCCCTCTTTCCCCCTTTGTGCAATTATTGTTATACATATTATCTCTATATATGTTACAAACTGAATGATATACACATTCTCATTCTTTTGCTCTTAAAACAAGAATTGCAATTAAATAGGGACAGCCTTTGGGAAGGAGTATTTTTCAAGTTAATCACAGCTTCAAAATGAAGAATGACCACCCAAATTCACAACTTTCCAAACTTCCATTTCAGGAAAACTCATGGACAGGAATATGATCTCTAATACCCAGACCTGATGCACTCTGGTTCCTTGGCTTTATCTGCGCTTAGGTCCACGTGTTCCCCTGCATCTTGCCCCCACAAAAGTGCATTCTGCTAGTTCTACAGAAGAAAGTACTAAAACAGAGAAATCACAAAAGATGTCCTATGAAAGGCAGTAAGTGTCACCTCTTTGACAGAAGGATCCTTGAGAGCAAAACACATTATCCCATTCATCTCTAACCAAAGAGAAAGAAGGTAATGGCCACAGAACAACAACAACCAAAAAAAAAAAAAAAAAAAAACAGAGAGTGAGAGATCAAAAGAGAATATTCATAATTACATTCCCAAAACAAACTCTCCTGAAATCTGTTCTTAGTTGTAAGTTCCCTTCCTCTGGCGCTCTCCTTACCCGAAACGGGGTGTTGATTCGACTCGTGAGAGTGTCTAGGATGTGGACATTCTCGTGCTGGTGCAATAGGATAAAACGAAGGAAGATCTCAAGTAGTGCTGGCTCAGAGATGCTACGCAGGAAAAGGTCCAGATATGCAGTTGTGGTCATGACCTCCTCCACAGTCACCTAGAACCAACAACAGAGTGAGTGCAGGTGAGCATCCTCTTGATGCTGTGATACACGCCTCTCCCGTGGCCCCAGCCTCACCACGGTGACCCCATCAAGGCAAGAACACGACTGCCCACGAAAACACACTTCAGAGCTTTATTGAAACCCATAACCTATTCACATTCCACAATACCTCATGCTGTTTCCACCCTTTAATTCAATAAGGAAAAAGAAAGGCATAAAGAATCAATTCAAGTGTTCTGACAATTCTAATCATCAAATGCAGTTCAAATACCATAAAGATTTTAGAGTATAATCAGAAATGAAGAAAAAAGATAATGGAAAGTATTTACATGGATTGTAAAGGATTAATTAGAAAGCTCGGAGTAACTTGTTTCATTATTAGTCATTCAATAAACATTTATTGGGACCTATTATGTACAAGGAGCTGAAAACATAGGAACACTCTTTATGTCCAGGAAGATGAGCTATAACAAGCAAAATGATAAAATAAATTGCAAAGGAACAGTACAGACACAAAGTACTACAGATGTTCAGATGTGTTTCTGGAGAGATGCAAGTCAAATTTTTTATAACTGAATAATACACATAAAATGTTATTTATAAAGTACTATAAGAACTCACTGCTTATAAAGTAACTGTGACTTTTTTATAATACAAATTAATATTTGCTACCTGGTGTAATTTTCTCATGTAGTCAAATGTCAATTTTTCAGTGAATAAGACTCTGAAGAGCCAAGTTTTTCAAGAAGCTGAGGATTTGATGCTTCAAGTATCAAAATTCTAACCGTAAACATTTTTTATTAGGAGTATTTTAAGAGCTAGCATATACATCTTTGTCCTCCTAAGATGAGAATACATCATCTCTTGAAGAATAGAGGTCATTCCCACGGTCATCAACTGCCCCGCAGAAGCATAAAGAAACAGCCACACCTGAAACCATGAAAATCACCAGAGAAATAGTTCAAACTTTCAGATTCTAATACTACACACCCTAGAAATCTTAGCAATCCCTCCACCATGAGTCAAATGCACTCGATTCTAAACAAAACAGATGGCAATACAATTTGAGTGATTTTTATTTTCCCTTTTCCATTTTTTAAAATCTTCTTTCTTTCTCTTCCTTTAAAAGCATTAGTTGTCACATTATCTTACGGTTACTGGGCCATTCCTTTTATATTCCATTCCTCTTCCCCTTATAATTTTCAGCTTTCAAAATCCACAGATTAGTTTAGAAACCAGATGTCCAGATCTGCTACATAAGTGTAGATGAGCCCTGAGTGGATGCATCTGCGCATAAAGGCTTGGAGCTATCTATTTTGGCTGCTTAAATTACTTTTAAAAAGTTCTGGTGCTCAGCTATCTTCTGGATAGATGAGCCCAGGTGGATAAAATATTACCAAGTCAGTGTGTCTGTTTTCTTTATCCTAAGCAAGGCATGCTTATCCAGTGCATTAGAATCTAATGAGAAGTCATTCCACAGTGGTCTGAGTACATATCATAGCGCAAATTCCCTTCCCCCAGCTTGGTGCCAACAATGCAAGCTCTCAGACATTCAATACACCACTATGTCATCTGATCAACTGTAAAGAGCTCTCTGTGGCCCAAATATAGCAATAGAAACAGGTAACCATCAACCATTTAACAAATAAATTGCACTGGGAAGAGTGCTTTTCATGGTCTGCCCCTGATTCTGAAACAAACTACTTCCATCTTTGTGTTTCCTGATGTTTTCTAGTCCCATGTATGGAGCACTCCTAATGCTGTCCTGGGATGCACACTGTGTCTTTTCCTTTATTACCCCAATGCAATGTACAAAGCCTGGCACACAGAACATACTTCTTCCTGAGTGAATGACAGCCCCAAAGATCTAGTGATTTATATTTGCCAGAGTTTAGTTTAACTTTTGATTATTCTTTATCCTCCACATGTGTCCTGAAGGCCACAGAGAGTAAAGACATTTTTTATAAAGATCTCTGTAATAACTGATGTCACCAATCATGGCTAAGGGGGAAATGACTCACAACAACCCTACATTAACCCACATCCACTTCACTACTGCAAACTTGGGATCCTTTAGCAGAAACTTAATCCTAAATGATTTAGGTGAAAATCTAATTCCCCAACAACCTTGATCACTAGAAAAAAGTTGCATAATCATTCCAAACAGGCTATGTATGTAGTTTCTGTAATACAGTATTTTCAACTTATCTACGGAACACTGCTGAACTGACGTGTCATACAGAATTCCAGCCTTTGTACCAATAATGTAGCATCAGCTTTTCCCCTCTTAAGATACATATGACCTTAGTAAGCTCGAAAGCACAGCAATCAACTCCTTAGACTATAGTCTCAGTCTCTGTGGCCTAACGTGAAAGGAGGGCATTAAGTATCTATTGTTTACTACTGTTAGGCTGGATAAATGAAAAGATTTCATTTCTTTTTAGAAATCAAAGCTGTCATTTATAAGCTAAGAGGATTTAAGAAGCACTTGGAGGGATAATATTTATATAACATGCTATAAATATTAAAAACCTAAGTCCATTAAGCATTAAGTTGCATATTTTTATGAACTGAGATCATACTCACATTAAACTAATACCCAAATCAGGAAAATCTGGCTCCCTTCTCCTTCCATCTTTTCCTTCCACCATATCCTCAGAGCCTTTAGGAGATTTTTATACCAGAAAATCTTTTCCTGTCCCATTATCTTACTTTCAGAAACTTCCTCTAATCCCCCCAAATAGGCAACCTCCTTAACGAGGATGAGACCAGAGCCTAAGTGTGATCACTGGAAAACTAACAATAAACCACAAGGGAAAAGATGCTCTGCTGTGCAGAATGTAAAACAAAATCTTCTGCTAATGCCCCAAAGAAGTGTTAGCAAGACTGTAAAGTAGCGTCTTCTTCATGCACCCATTATGAAGGACAATCCACTGTTAATATAAGTAAGATCTCTGTCTTAGAGATGACTATCAATATTTATTTAACTTGTTCTATAAAGAATTGCAGGTAGCTACAAATTTACATAGAAATACTAACAGAAACAGTAAATGACGTTCTACCTTACTGCCATATCATACACAATAATAAAGTTTAGGGATACTAAAGCTTAAGAATGTTATTTCATACTAAAGGTGGGCCACAATGACTGAAATCACCTAAAGAAAACTCAGTGTCCACAAACGAATAATTATCCTTGACAAGATAAGAACAGCTGTTACTCTAAAGAACATATCTGCTTAGGTGCTATTATGTGATTACTTTTCAACCCAAGTTCCAGAATAGAGGCCTGACTCAGGTACTTGACTTTACTGCTACTGAGTCCCGTTTAGCCCATCCTTGGAAATAAATCTTTTTCTGTCCGTCTTCTGTACATTCCTATAGCCCTTGTCTGGGTCCTTCTTCATGCCAAGAATCTTCACCAATCCCTCAAGCCGGTGTTTTTGAAACTACAGTTTGAGATCAAGAGTGGGTAGTTAATTCAGTTTATTAGTTTATTAATGGTTTAGACCAGATTCCAGTAGAAAATATTAGAGTACCCTGCACGTAGTAAGGGCAAGTCCTGTTTTGTCAAACTTGTGTATACATATTTTGTTGAAAATATACATAATGCAATATATTAAATATATGGGCTTTGCTTGCAAATTCAGTGAATATACATATATATGCAAACATGCAAAATATTATTTCTGACTGTGAGCTGCAGCTAAAAACATCTAAAAAACACCACAGGAGCACAGTTAACCATCATCTACGCCATCCTTTCACCCACCAGTTCTCATCACCAGTTCCCTATGCTCCAGGCTATAACGCAGCATGGTCTGGCCTGGAAGAAGTGCACACATAGGTGAGATCAGTTTTCTGAACAGGATGGCAACTGAATTTACAATCAATCTACTCTTTTTTGTCTTAGGCTAAGAGCCTCCAAAAGTGTGTTTTTATTTTTTTATTAGAATTTCAAGCTTCTCAGAAATAGGCAAAATGGACAGTGTGTTTTCTTTTAAAAAGGAGGTGGGTGGGAAGGGAGGAGGTGACACCACGCATCACATTCTACTTCTATAAAACCAAAGCTCTCTAAAAAGAATTAAAGCCAGAACCGAAGCCAGCTATCATGCCCACAACTGCAGCAGCACATTAACTTATTGCACAGCATAGGAGTGAAATTGAGCATATAGACATTCTGACCTTTCTGTAATCAGCTCTAGTTGGGCCATTCCATTTGCATCTAAATTAGCACCAGAATCCTCCCTGTAATGGCAGGTTTATGTGTGTCCTGAAAAATACATTTCCAACCTGCTAATTGTTTTTTTGTGATCTAGTCACATTGGAACAAACAGATGGATCCTACCTTCTGTCACTCAGGCAGGTGGCAGGCAGTGGGGTCAGGTGACTGTGGCACCCTCTCCAAGTTAGAAGCCACCCTTCCTTGGCTTTTCTTTTGATAACAGAGGAAAAAACTAGCTAACTGCTGGTTCACCTGGGTCATCAGTGAGTCATCAGCCCCAGTGGGTCCAACCAGAGTAAAGCTCCCACTGAAATCAGCAGAGGGGAAAAGAATGACAAGGCTGGATCACACAAAACAGGAGTGAAAGGGTCTTAACAGGGAACACAGGCTACGAGCCCACCTGCTGCTGCCAGAGAGAGCCAAGCCAACGGACAGGCGGGAGGCACATCCACCCACCTGCAGCCAAGGGCAGCAGCTGGATGGGCTCCTTGCAGCCATCTTCTCCCCTCCAAGGACATGAAGCGCTAAGAAGAACATTCAAGTACAAAAGGGAAGACAGACGCCCTGGTTCTCAGCAAGCAGCTCTACTGTTTCAGCCAAAAATTCAGGACAGAAAATGTTCAATGACTCCAGATCTGAAAATAGTCTGCAGTTGATGATTCTGGCTCCCTCCCGTCGGCTCCCCTATGCCTCCCTTCTGCTCCCCGACCTCTAGGCCACACGCTATACTGCTAGCACCGCCAGAGGCCAGCTGGGGAGGTGAATGGAG